GTGTGCTTCACTTCCTCTTCTTGGCTTAAACTAACGTGCTAGCCCACCATCTTTCTCCATCCCTGACATGGCTTTAGTATTTTAAACTACCGTTATGTTGAGCCTGGTGGATCCGTACATAATCTTTACTGAAAAAAAAATTTTTTATTATCAAACACAAAACAAACACTAAAATATCACCAGATCGAAGATCCGAACATAAACTCGTTCAGCCGTGCCGATCGATGCTCTCCCCAACACAGTACTCCGTATCTCCTGGACAGCACATCTTTGTATATATAAGACCAGAGAATGCGGGGAGAGCCTCACCTGATCATAAACACCAGGGAGTCGTCGTGGGACTCAACGTGCCTGCTTCAATTATACTAACTCTGAACTTAGGTATTAAATAGTCGTAAAAGTTTACTGCATGCAACCGTTTGTCCAGAATGCAAAGACGCACTCCTCACTGGTTCTTAGAGTGTTACGACTATTGTCTAAATGGATGCTTTATCTTAAGAGTGTTGCGCATTAAGGCAAAAGAGGAGTAATAGTCAGATATCCGCATAATTATCCAACAGCAGCAAGAACGATCCGTCAGGTCTGAAAATGCGCTCACTGAAGTGGTGAACGGGCAAACTAAAGGCCATAAACAACAAAAAAAAGCTCTGAATGAAACATTTCTTTTAAAGTTCTCCTTTTGCCCTGAATAGGCTAAATTTAAAAACATGAAAAACACGCATTGGAAAATATTGCAAACATGTATTGACTGAATGCTATAACAGAGTCTTTAATTATGATGTATGTAAAATATAAAATTATATTAAAAAATAACTGAATGAAGCACTTGGAAAACGCGCACCAGTTAGCAGCACCAAATTGTAACATTTTTTGATGCTCCGTAATACAACCCCACATTCTCAGCGGATGGCTCTCTTCCCCGAACATGGAAGAAAAGACTTAAATGAACATTTCCAACATGAGTAACGTGTAAAATTGAGGAACACTGAAGTTTCTTACTATTAGAGACTTTACTGCTACACAAAATTCTGCAAAAATCATGATCGCATCGGCTAATCTGAGGCGGGGAACCACTTATTTTTAAGTTAGCGGAAATCAGTGCATGAAAGTTATGATCTGAGTGACTGAAATCAGTCCAGTCTCGCTTTGCTTACAAGCAGTACGCATCCAATACGTTAAAAAAAAAA